ATGCTGCACGTTCAGCCTGCCTTGGGATGGAATAGCTCACATTTTCACCCATGCTCTTAGACTGTTTTCTCATTCTAACTGGTAATCTACCAGACAAAACGTACAAATATCTCCAGTACATATCTGTATCACTGAAAAGTGGGATGTAGAAAGGCTGGTCAAAACACTCAAGGCCTCCATACACAGCAATTAATACTAAATACAAAAAGCGTCTATTTCTCCTCAAAATAGCTTGAAGTTAAATTAAGAAGTCATTTTCCTACTTACATGCACACACATCAGAATTCCTCCTTGTTAGAACACTCACAAAAACATGCGACAATTCTGCAGCAGATTGGTTAAAGGCCACTTGCATCAAAATCTGATTAAAAATCACCAAGCCTTTCTCTGAGTTTAAAAGTCCACCCAAAACCCTCTGCAATCTTCGACAGGGGCTGTGACTATATTTTCTTTCAGTCCTTCTCCAACCTGTTTCTCTGGATTTCACACCTTAGCGTTGCAAACTGGCATATTTACAATATTATTTATACTTCTGTTATTATTTATACAAAGGGTTATGGCAAAAAGAAGAGTTTCAGCTAACAGTGATTCCTCCCAGAATTTCCAAGTTCGAATGACTCTGAAAGCTACAGGGGTTTGTTGCTGTAATGACTGGTACATATTGCTAACACAAACAAACCAAGATTAACTTATATAAGTATATCACTACTACTCCCTCTCCCCCCCCAAAAAAAAAGGCGGGGCGGGGGGAGATCTCTGAATAAATAAGAGCATAAGCAGGCAAATTCCAATCAATTCTGCACGCAGAAAGTTGATTTTTAAGTTGTTAAATCAATACTTTCTGCCTGCCAGCATTTTGGAAACAAAAGTAAAGGCCCAAAAGGAACAAAGGATGTTATTTTACTGCAGTGCTAGAACTTAGACAAATCAGTGCTGATTTAGAGCGGCAGAGCTAACTCTGCACATTCACCACAAAGGAAGTCCTGTGTCTGCACCATCTGCACAGAAGAGCCTTTGATGTACAGCTTCTCTTTTCTTCATAGTGTGACTTCTGCAGATTGATAAGTTGTATTAAATTCCAAGACTTATTAAAAATTGGAAGGAAAAATATGGAACAAGGTTTAGGTATAAGAAACATTTGCTAGTTCAGTGTTCTCTCATTACAGCTGTTAAAACAGAGAAAAAAGTTTTCCTCCTAGATTACAGAGTGCAGAATCTAAGACTGATGTTCTGCTTTTAAGTTTACTGAAAAATTGCACCTCAATTTTTTGAAGGAAGGAATAATGTACATATGAGTTTGTGATAGATATACGTTTGGGATAATATTTGCAAATAAAAACATATAAAAATAACAGTTTTTTAAAATAATATTGTTTCTATTTAAAAAAGGATATTTATAAAGAATATTACAATTAGATCAGAGTCAGTATTAAGATATGTTGTGGCAGTAATGGCTATTTATAATTGAATGAAAAGAAAAACAAAATTTAATCAAAGAATACAAGCTGTTCATCCTTTGAAAACATTCTTGGAAAGCTCTTCCACAAGCGGCACTGATTATACACAAAGAGCCTTAGGAACAACAGTTATCAAGGAATGTTTAGAAAAGTTTATAGGACACTGACTCTACCATAGTGTTTAGCTGGAAAGAAAAACAACCCATACAGTGTAACCCATGTCATACCCTGGGAAATCAAAAAATAGAACACATCCAATAACATGAAAGCCTCTTACAAAAAAGCAAGAGCATGCAGGATTTTATCTTCCTACTTCTGCCCAGTCCGGGTTCCAGTCAATGCAGATTAAAAGCAATTGGCCCTCAAAAAAGCTTATGGCAACACTTAAAGCATGTTGGCAATGTTGCCATGTTGGCCGAAAATTGCCCGTTGTCCTCTGTTAAAGTGAGTATCAAGCCAATTCTATTCATTACAAAACACTAAGCACTCTGCACCAAATTCTACTGTTACTACAACCTTGAAATAACTGCACTGATTTGGTTTTGGCAGTCCAGATCCAGAATGATTCAAATGAAAGCAGAAGTTATCCAAACATTTTTACTTACAAAGCATTGACCTGTTATCTGCACTCAACCAGATGGCTGCTCTGCACTAGTACCTAAAACAGTGCCCATGTTCTGTATGGGCACACCCTGCAGCACATGGGTGAGGAGAGAAAACACATATTGCATTTAAACACTGCAGGAAATGGTAACATGTTTTAGATTGAAAATACCATCAAAAGTTATATTCTCAAAACAATTTCATGCTTTTAAACTGCATACTTGATGATGAATAAAATTTATATATTGATTATCTCGAGGTATTCTAACTTAATAAGCATATATACCCCAAAAACATGACCCACCTCTCCAGATCATTTTTGAAATCTTGAGAGCAAATCTGTATACTTACTGTAGGTGTTTATTTAGAAAATAATCCCTGTCAGAAATCTGGTTAAATTCTATTATTTTCTCTTCCGGTTAGACTTGGTCCAAGGAACTGACAAACAAAACAGGGTATATAATAACAAAAAAACATTTCTGCAGGAAGCTTCACCTTAAAGTCTTAGGAGTAAACCTTGCAGGTGACTAACCTGCACAACAGCCTGTGAAACACAAAAGCATTACCTGTATTTCCCAGAAGGGGAAACAGAGCAGACTGCCTACATCATTGTAGTTGTCAAGGCTGGAGTTAAGAATCCAGAAATTGAAGATTTAACCACCATATCACACACACATTCTTTTGAATTGCAGAAGAGGAGCTTAAATATCATGTGATCCACAAAAAATATTTAATGGAACAGCCCAACTGTGTAAACACTTGCTGGCTTGATGGTAATTTTAAAGAATAAAACCTCAGGTTGTTATGACTGGATTTTAAAACGTAAACAGAATTCAATATCCACACAAAGTCAATGTTTTTTACCAGCTATGACTCAATATAGCAAGAACAAAACTTTGCACCTTCAACTTTAGTAATTATTAACTTAAGCAAATAGTCTTTACAACAGCTTTAGCACTTAAGGAAAAGAGACTAGATAAAATTTTCATAATCCAAAGAAATAACATTAAGTTGAACAGAAACAAACACCAGCAAAACAAACAGGGTGAAAGGAATCAGCTATCTAGGATTAAAAAAAGAAAAAAAAAAAAAAGTGTAACTAAGCCAAGGAGGAATAGAGAGCTGCCACACAAACAGAAATCCCAACATAAGGAGGCCAAAGATCAAAGGTAGTTGGTATAGTTAAGAAAACCATTCAGAGTGTATCACAGTTACGTATGTTGTACAGAAGGACGGGTACAACTAAGAGTACACAAAAGAGCATTGAAAAGAGCTGTGAGAAACTGCAAGAGTTAAAAAGTTAAAACTGAACTGAAAGTTAATGGAAATGTTAATAAAGAGCAAAATAACCTTTTCTTTCTAGAATTATATACCTGTACAAAAAGTCATGCTTCTTAAATGAAATGGATACAAAGAATAAAACACACTAGAGCTTGAAAAAAAATGATAGCAGCTAATTTTGACTGTGATCAGCTACATGAACCTAGAAAAATCCTAACAAAAACTGTCTGTAAACCAAATATGAAATAATTCTGCAAAGCAAAACCCCACTGGAAAATATCCATAAAACATAATATTAAGAATAACAAAGAAAGGACTGCAATTTTAAAAATACCTTTATATAGTGAAAGGGAGGCATCACTTTGGGCATCTTTTTTGCATTCTATGCATCTCTGAAACAAATCTTGATATCCTCTGATGAAAAAAAAAATCCATGTAAACAACATAAAATACAGAAACTGTCTTGAAATAGACTCCCATCTAGCTGGAAGTTGGAGCACTCCATGCTTGACAAGAGGCACCCTCTGGGACTTCCCCGAACTTCCTACCACAGTGCTCAGGGAGGTTCCACGTGACTCTGCCTAGGTCTGGCATAAATTGGAGCCTTCTTGAAGTAAATGTTTATGAAGCATTTACCACTTCTCCAGAAAAACTCTGTACGTGGAATTACTGAAATTGATTTCTGAAGGTGCTGAGAATCTCTGGAAGGTGCTAATACTCCAATTACTCCCAGTGAAAACAATCAACAGCGCAAAGAGCAAATAAAGTCAAGGGGAAGCAAGAATGAAGAGAGTACTTTGCAATCATGGTTTTCACCTTCTTCCCCACAAATAACGTACTTTGGAGTCAGAATCCAACAAGCTGCATTTATTAAAATGATATTTTTAGCTGTCAGTCTCTCAGATACAATTGCAATGAATGACCTCCAAATATACATACTCAAAAGTGAGAAAAACATGGCAGAGGAGAAATCAGAGAAACAAAGCCAGTCTAGAGACTGGGTTTTATGTATTTTGCTTCCTTAATTATAAAGAAAATACAAATATAGAAATAAAATAATAATATAGAATAAATTCATAAAAACTGACTTGAAAAGAAAAATAAATTCTAACACTTTTTTTTTTTCCCTAGAGCATGTGCAAGTTGCTTTACTCCATGATTAGAGCCAAGTATCATCTTAGCTTGTTCCACTGCTACGACCTTTCTAGGAGCTGTTAGGACAGCTGGAAACATCTAGGCTAGAGAAACACCCAGACTGTGTTTACTTACTATTACTTCAATCTCATAATGAAGTTCTCCATTTTTATCAATGGAAAAGTGCTACAGGATGATGCTATTCCTGGCCCTGCCTTTGAACCACTTACTGTCTTGTGTCAAGCTATTCTTGCCTCAGTTTCTTAAATCTACAATTGGTAAAAATAGCTTAGTTTAGTGACAATTCTCCAAGTGGCTGTAACTAAAAGCAGCACAATAGGTCTCCACGAAACTTCTGTTTCCTGAAGCATAGCTTAAAGATAGGAGCTAAGACAAAAGCTAGCTTGCAACGTAAGTGGGCCTCAGCTGATGCTAGAAGAGGGGAAGTCCAGAGGAGCTATTTAGGTCCAGTAGCAATCACAGGTAGTGAACCAGTGAGCTGCCCATGAGCTGCTTTTTTTGTCAAGCAGCAGCTCCATCTGCTGCCCAAAAGGAAAGGTGAACTTTGCCTAAATAACTTAGTTATTTACAAGCCGTATATTTGAGTTATGATTCCCACAAGTATGCTGCTGCTGTTAGGTAGACATGATGCTGGGCTGGTTAGACCTCAATTAAGACTGCAACAGAAATAAATTTAAGTGTATTATTTTGAGGATCAACTCAGTTCTTAAAAACTAAAAAGAAAGTTCTGCTTCTTTTATGAAGTACAGAGCCTGAGCTACTAGACCCTAAGAATCCAAATTAAGCTTTCCTCACATGGCATTCCGTTATGAGGAACACTGTGGAGGCTGTGTAAGTGCTACTACCCAGAGCAGTACAGTCGTGGCAAGACCAGAGGGATGCAGAGCTTGGCGAGCTCTGAGCCTTCAAGAACGTGATTCTTAGGATTCTCTGTGTTTACAACTGCTTTGGCTCCACAAGAAATTGCCAGGTAGAGCCTAACTCTAGTATGGCATTTGCTTGAACTACGGAAGCCCCAGAAAGCCCTATTTTCTGAGCAGCATTAAAGGAACCATTTGATAATCAAGCAGCTAGTTAGCTCTGCCTTGCAGCTGGCAGCACACACTCTGGCTGACTGTATGAGGAACCCCAGGGCGAATCAGCACAGTGCTTTCACTGCCCAAGTGGCCTGGGTCATACATTGCACTGGACATCTCAGCCCCTGATACAATTGCTAATGGGAACTCTGTCACTAAGGTCTGTCTTACATTAACTTGATTTTTTTTTTTTTGCTGGTTCCTCAGATTTGAGGTACAAGTTTATAGTCAAGTTTCTCTCTACTCCTATTGGTACTGGTGGTTTTAAAGTATTATCAAGTTAAAACCGAGATTTGCATGACGTAGGTAGCAGAAGATAAAATTCAGACATTGTTCCCTTAAAAGGATTTAGTAATAGGCATTCATACTTGCAACAATGATCTAAATATACTATAATGTTTTCACTCACATTTAAAATATTGTCACACAGTGAAATGTTATTTCCCCAAATCATTGTATTTTCTTTTTCTTCTTTGATTTGCCTTTATTATTAGTATTATTTTTGGAGCTCAGAAATATTCTTAGTTACTGTTTTTCAGGCATGTTTCCCAGGCAGAAGTAAGAATTTATGCATGTCACCTCATGATGAGTTACTATAGTCTCTAGCAGAGATTGCTAGAGAATAAATCCAATTGCATGGATTTGTCTTCATCTCACTTTGCACTCATGTTTTGTCTTTCAGATTCCCACACATATATTTTAATTTCATGTGGCATTGGAAAGCTATCAAAAACTGCAGTGCAAGAGATACCAGGTAAATAGTCACAGTTTTCCCGATCGCTTTAATTCAGATGCTATTAAGAAATCTTGTTTGAGTTTTCTCTAAAAACCCACAATGCTAGAAATCACATCCTTAAGGTATTTTTCATATGAAATGTACCTAAAATAGCCTAAGTTTTTAAGTTGACCCAGCATGTTTTGCCCAGAGAGGTTGTGGAGTCTCCCCCTCTGGAGATCTTCAAAACCTGCCCTGTGCCACGTGCTCTGGGTGTCCCGGCTGGAGCAGGGGGGTTGGACTAGATGATCTCTAGAAGTCCCTTCCAACCTCAACCATTCTGTGATATTTTCCATATTCTTGATGCAATGTCTGGAAGGCTCTTTTGTTCTAAAATTGCATTTTCCCATTTATTTCAACAGTGTTAAAAAGCACATCATAAATAACTTAAAATGAGAAATATTGGTGGAATATATATTCATTAATGCAAAAATCAAAGTTGGCATAATTCTCTAATACAGCATCCTCTATGTGTGCAACAAGACCCAATCATGCAAAAACTTCTCTATGCAAATTTATAGGGTTTTGAAGAAATAGTTTCACATTATTCTCTAAATATACAGGTAAAAAGGCCAAGGATGAAGATAATAAATATTTTATATTCATTAGTTACGAATGAAAAAAAAAAAACAGCGTTTTAACACATGCATAAACGTGGGCAATGCCTGAGGGTATGCACATGCTGTATCTGGATCTTTCTTCAGGGCAGCTAAAAACACTAAACCAATTCATGCTAGATAAAAATAAAAGATGAAAAAAGCAAGCGAACAAAACCAAACGAAACAAAAATAAACCCACAACATTATCGTTAAGGGCTAAGGAGGTGTCCCGAAATTGAATGCACTTACGGCACTTCAGAAGCGCGGTCGTCCCATCCGTGAGGCGGCGCGCAGGCTCTATAGGCGGCGCGCAACAGGCTCAACAGGTGGCTCCGTGGCGCAATGGATAGCGCATTGGACTTCTAGCGGGTGAAGGGATTCAAAGGTTCCGGGTTCGAGTCCCGGCGGAGTCGCGTATTTCTTTTCAATTATTCCTCCTCCCCGCAGAAATCTTTTCCCTCTGCTTTCCTGCCCTCAGCGCCGCAGCAATCAGGCCGGCCGGCCTGGCACTCCGCCGCGGCTGATTCCCTTCAGCGAGGCTCTCCGACTCCGCCTGAGGGAGGGGGGCAGCCAGAGACGAAGGCACCAACCTCCGACCAGCGCGGCAAGCAAAGCCGCTGTTTCGAGTGCAAGTTTCGAATGATTCCCTCCGTTACGATAGTGTAAAATGGCCGAAGCCGGGACGCGGAGAAGTACCATCCTCTCAGCG